TCAAAGCCACATCCAACACCAGCAACAACATCTGCACATCCAGCAGCAGCATCAGCTCCATCTGCAGCAACAGCTCCAGTTGCAGCTGCAAATGCAGCAACAGCAACAGCACCATCAGGARCAGCAGCAGAAGCTCCACAAGCAAAAGCTACAGCTGCAGGCCGCGTATGGCGCTCTCCCGATCGACCCCACTTTGATGTTGTCTGGCAGTCCAGGGTATGCAGCCACGTTGTCGCCGTCCTCGTCCGAGTCCAACCATTTCCCGTTCAGCGGATTCGACTGCAACTACTCCAAGCCAACCTACGGTCTCGGGTACGACAATCATTATCGACGCTTATATAGTCATAATAATATTAACTTGCATTTGCTTATATGCCTCATACGACATGAATCGTCTCACCCGCAATAATATCTTGTTATTGCTATTATTTCTATTATTATTCTTCCGTTTGTTTATGTTCGACAATAATGCATTAATGTACATACTATTTACAGTTATCCTTACTACGACAGGATGCTAGACGGCAGGATGACTGGTGGGTCATTCGGAAGCGTAGACATGAGCGCCAACCGGTCTGAYTGTCCGTCGCCGGAGTCTACGACCACTTGCACGACGACTACTGACGACCATCACCAATTCCATCACCATCACCACCAGCAGCAACAGCACCGAGACCTAGACAGAGAGCACCGCCACCACATTAAGGCGTGTTCAATGGACGACATGGACGTCGTGGACCCCGAGGAGGTGGCAGCCATATACAGACAGTCGGACTTCCTGTCGTTCCGTCACCGGTACATGGAGAGTTTGGGGCCGCCGAGGAACTTCGAGAAAATGAGGCGGTCCAACAACAACAACAACAACAACAGCAGCAGCCGCAGCAGCAACAACAACGATGACGACCACATGTCGGGGCACGGACAGCAGCAGTACGACCAGACGTACGTTATGAAGCGGCAGAAGAACAACGAGGCGGCCAAACGATCGCGGGACGCCAAGCGGCAGAAGTATATCGAGAACCAGATCAGCGTCATGTACCTGACCAAGAAGGTGAGTGAGATGAAGGACATYAAGAGAAGGCTGTTAAAGGCCAACAGTAATATACTYGCCGAGTAGGCACTACTGTAGTACTGTTTACTTACAATATTCTGTTAATATAAGCTTTAGAGCACTTTCTGTATATGCTTTCGACGACGACGACGACGAATACGACTTCCGTGTTTTTAAGTATCAATTTTCAAACCATTTATTTTGTATTAACTGTTTTCCTTGATTGTCAACTATCACTGTTGTATTGATAACGCCACTCCGGGGTCACAGTGTCGGGTAAAAAAATAAAATCGTGAATAACCGACTTTTCAAATTTATAAAGATTCRAATTCATTGAATTAATTGTCAATACCAATGAACATAGATCAACATATTTTAAAATTTCAATACGTAACTAGTGATTCTCATWTAGTTGTAAGCTTTACTTATCACAATACACCATAAATAACACGTCATATAATTCATTACATTGTATATCGTATATTTTAGTATTGACTATAATTCAATGATGGATGTAAAAATTTTAATATTTATTAMTTTTAAATTGTAACTGAAATCTTTATAAATGTATATTGAATAATTGGTCGATCAGAATTTTTTTACCAACCACTGTCATATAGATCGACGGAGGTGGTATATAAAATGTATTATATACGCCATTATAATGGCTGGCGTGCCCAGATGAGAATTTTTTCTACCGCAAAAAAAGTGGTTTACGGCTGATCTTACTTATTCGTTTGGATATTAACGGATTTGATAGAAGGTYSGTCGACTTAAGCTGTTTTGWATAAAGCTTCACGAACGTTAAAACCTTTGTCACGCCACGGTCGCTAATGATATGACCGTAGATATCGATTTTAGTGCATTTTTTTAGTTCTTACGATGAT